CGCGATACCTGGGAGCACTGCAGCACAACACGCTTCTTCCATACACCGCCGCTGCTTTCTGATTCTAGCGCGGGGGGTAGTGAGGAGCGCACCGGGGAGAACCTCACGAGGTCGAGCCCCACGCAGCATGAGGCCAGCGGCCAGGAGCGGTCGGGTTCCGACGAGAACCGCGACGAACACAAGGACGCCGAGGAGGATCGCGCTGTCGCACAGAAAGACCCCCTTGTCCAGAATGCGCATGTCGGCGAAGACGAGTGTAACAGGCACTACGACCAAGACGGCCACGAGGAGGAGCAGGATCGAAGGCAGGCTGCGGCGGCCAGGAGGCGCAGCGACCAGGAAAGATGTGCAGCGCGTACGGCGGCTACGGCGGCTACGACAGCCGCAGGGCGGAACACGGCGATCGGCACAAGACGGGGCAAACCGGTCGCCTACGATCACTACGACGGTGACGAAAGCCAAGAGGCGACGCAGGCCGAAAAACGTTGCAGCGATTACGACGGCCACGGTGGCTACGTGGCAGAGCAGACCGCAGGGAAGGAACAGTGACAACGACGCCAACGACAGCCAGCCACGGTGCACCGCAACGAATACGAAGAGGGTAAGTGGAGCAAGCCGTCGAGAAGGAGGAGGACCATGAAGACGAGGACCATGCCGAGAAACATGCGGACGCGTAGGAGGATACTTGCCCAGGGCTACAAATAGACCGCATCCAGGCTGGTTTCAAGATTCTCTACGAGAGAGCGTCCCACCATCGGAACACAGGTGCCATGTACGAGGTCGTTGCGCCAGGTATCCAAGGGAATATGAGCGAAAACGAAACATTGGGCAACAATTACCCCGCTGAAAACCAACTCTCAAATGGTCATCAGCCGAACCCAGATCCATTCCGCACTGAAGCAATACTTTCCAGAAGACGACGGTTTCGTCAAGGTCATTGCGCTCGATGGTAGAATTGACATGGAGCTGGTCGGAGGTGTCAATGCCCACTACGTTCAACACTGGGTGGTCGAGGCCACCAGTGATTTCGCAGTGTTGTTCTGAGTGTCTGCGCATCTGAGCCAGTCGCTTCATCATCCATTTGAAGCAGGTGTCGAAGATCTCAGAGCCAGCTCCGACGTGCCCAGGAGCGACCGCAACGAAACAAAAGATCACGATCTAGTACTAACCGAGCACATCCTGCGCAAGCAGGGGTCCCTCCTCAGCGTCCTCCTAGCATCGAGGACGACGCTGGGGAGCACGAGGAGAACGAGGCTCAGGATGACGAGAACCACAAGTGAGGCGGGATGCCACCTGTCGTGGATGACGATCCTTACTCCAGCTGGGCAACTTCAGAGTACCGCCACGACGACCCCCACGACGTGAACGGGCCCTGGTTTGCAACAGAGAGCAACCGCACTAGCGAAATCCCGCCACGGCTGAAGAAAAAGGCGAACACGCGCGGTTGACTGGTGCATCGATGTTCTTGCGAGGGGGTGACGACGCGACCCGCGCACGACGGCGTCGTGCAGCAGCTGCCCGCCGACGGCAACGGGGCGAGGCACATCGAACTTGACGACGTCGAGCCTAAAAAAAGACCTGCAGCTTGAAGGAGAGCTACAGCCGACAGGAGAGCTACAGCTTGAAGGACAGATATACAGCCTAAACGACGACCACAGCCAGAAGAACCGCCACGGCCAGGAGGAGAGCTACAGCTCGAGGGGCAGCGACTGCCTCGAGCAGAACAACACTTTTGGACAGAGGGCCACCGCCACGAGGAGAGCTACACCCCGAAGGAGCGCTGCAGCCAGAATGGGAGCTGCAGTCGGGGCGCTGAAGAAGGAACCCTTCTCGTTGGGGAGGGGCTCCGTGTTCCTTCATTGTTTTACAGCTTGCCTGAGGTGTTCCTCAGGCTTCCGATGGGAAATCAAAGTTTGACTTCTGGAAAAATGGGGCCCCGTTTCTTGCTTAGGGTTCCTTAGGTCAGCGCCTCGACTGCACGGTCCAGAGGCCACCTGCAGCCGCGAGGGGGGAGCCACGGCCGGAGCGAGAGCTGCAACCGCCAGGGGGCTTGCCAGGCTCGGGCCGAAGCTGCCACCGGCAGACGAGCCACGCCCGGACGGAGAGCGACATCTATAAAGGGGAGGGCTGCAGCTGCGCCCGCTCGGAAAGAGACACCTTCGATGCTCGTTTTGGGGACCTTCCTGGGGGCCACCTAATGGATCTGTTCGACTCAGGTTCGACTCAAGTTCGACGCAGGTTCGACTCAGGTTCGACTCAGATTCGACTCAGGTTCGAATCATGTTCGACTCAGGTTCGACTCAGGTTCGACGCAGCTTCGACGCACGAGTGGAGCGAGTGGCTGCAGGAAGGTCCCCAGAATGAGCATCTAAGACACCCACGCGGAGTGCACCAGCCACAACGAGTTCTGCAGCCCGAGAGGGAACTGCAGCCAGAACGAAACGAGGACAGGGAACCCTCGTGCTCACGCCCCTCCCGCTGTCGACGGGAAGGCGGGCGTGCGGCGGAGGGGCGATGGCGGGTGTCATCAGACCGCCCCAGGGCGCCAACGGGCCCCCTGAGAGGTTGTGAAGTAAGCTCTGCTAGAGATGTGGGCTGCAGTCTGGAGGGCGGCGTGCTGCAAGGAAACAGGCGCGCCCCATCTGCGCCAAGAGGTGGGATGATGAAGGCACCGCCACGACAGCTTAGAGCGGCTCGCACAACAAACATCCCCGCTCCAGTTATATTCCCATCTTCCTTCCCCGCCCCCCTCTTCCTTTTCCTGCCCCGCCTCCTCCCCCCCTCCTCATCGGGGGCCGCGCCGAGGGGCCCGCTGGAGCGAGATTTACGGAAGTCTCTCGAGGAGTAGTCATGAGCAGCAGAGGAGACGGCAGCAGATGCACCACATGTATTGCACCACATATGCTGCTGCACAACGATTGTCCATCATTGCTCCACGTAGGTTCCCCATCATATATATATATATATATATATATATATATATACATATTGCACCAAGATGGCTGCACTGCAAAAATGTCACAATATAGATCGCACCACATAGATTCTCGTTTCAAAAAGGGGAATAGGTTCTACCACCCTCCCCCCGGGGGTTAAAGATCCCCCGGGAACCGATGCAAAACACATAGGCTTCTGACCCAATGTCCATCCTACCTGTGAATTCATATCATCCCAGCCAGACCGGTATCGGCCTCCCCCGCCACCCTCTGCGAAAAATTATGCGCGCGAGCTCTTTTATCAAAAATCATAAGTTTCCAAACGTCCCTTGCAAAAAACGGGACGAAATGCACACGCGCGCGTCGTCGCGCGCGCATGCCGGAATCCTTCAAAAACCTTCGATTTCGGAAGGATTTCAAAGTCGAGCTTCCAAACAAGTCATACAAAAGCACAGGGTTTCGCAACACTGATGTTCTAAAAAAGCTTACATGCGCCCTCTTGCGAAATCTTGAGAGAACCATGCTTTTTTTCAACATGTCCAACAAATACTACCAAACTGGCTTCGCGCGCGCATGTCGAAACCGTTTGAACGCCCTTGCGCGCGTGCCGTCGCGAGAATCTTTAGCAAAAAACGGGACGAAGTGCACGCGCGCGCGTCGTCGCGCGTGCATTCCGAAATCCTTCAAAAATCTTCAGTTTCGGAAGGATTTCAAAATCGAGTGTCCAAAAAAACATACAAAAACACTGGGCGTCGCAACATGCATGTTCAACAAAAGTGTGCGCGCGCGCTCTTGCATCGTCGTCGTTGTCGTCCTCACTCCTCCCTCGTCGTCGCCGTCGCCGTCGTCGTCCTCTGTCTTTCCTCGTCGTCGTCGTCGTCCTCCTCTTTGGCGTCGTCGTCGTTTCCGTCGTCGTTGTCGCCGTTGTCGTTTTTCTTCTTCCCTCGTCGTCGGCGTCTCGTCGTCGTCCCTCCTATTTCGTCGCCGTCGTCGTCGTCGTCGTCTTCCCTCCTCCCTCGTCGTTGTCGTCGTCGGCGTCGCCGTCCTCTCTCCTTCGTCGTTCGCGTCGTCGCCGTCATCCCTCCTCCCTCGTCATTGTCGTCGTTGTCGTCGTTGTCGCCGTCGTCGTCCTCCCTCCTCCCTCGTCGTCGTCGTCGTCGTCGTCGTTGGTGACGTCGTCGTCGTCGTCGACGTCTTCGTCGTCGTCGTCGTCATCGTCGGCGTCGGTGTCGACGTCGTCGTCGTCCTCCTCCTCCTCGTCTTCGGCGTCGTCGTCGCCGTTGTCGTCGTCGGCGTCGTCATCGTCGTCGTCGTCGGCGTCGGCGTCGTCGTCGTTGTCGCTGTCGTCGTCGGCGTCGCTGTCATCGCCCAGTGCCATTTGGTACCCACCGTCACGGTCTTAAGAGGTTTTGCAAACCAAGTTGCGGGTGGGAGGGTGGGATGTTTGCACGAGCAGTGGAGAGGACAGCTTCAAGACAGTCAGAGTGGGTTGCACCACATAGACTGCACCGCAGATACTGCACCACATCGATTGGACTACATCTCTTGCTCCGCACAGTTTGCACAACACGGACTGCTAGAGACACACCGTTTGGGGCCCACGCTGGCTTACATTGATGGGGGAAAGTGATGGGAGGAGGAGGAGGAGGAGGAGGAGGAGGAGGAGGAGGAGGAAGGAGGAGGAGGAGGAGGGGGGAGGAGGAGGAGGAGGAGGAGGAGGAGGAGGAGGAGGGAGGAGGAGGAGGGGAGTAGGAGGAGGAGGAGGAGGAGGAGGGAGGAGGGGAGGAGGAGGAGGGGAGGAGGAGGAGGCAGAGGAGGAGGAGGAGGAGGAGAGGGGGAGGAGGAGGAGGGGGAGGAGCAGGAGGAGGAGGAGGAGGAGGAGGAGGAGGAGGAGGAGGAGGGAGACAACGAGGGGGAGGGAGGAGGAGGAGGAGGAGGACGAGGAGGAGGAGGAGGAGGAGGAGAGGAGGAGGAGGACAACGACGAGGGCGTCCCCCTCCTCCCCTCCCCCTCGCTCGAGCCGCTGCCCTCCCAACCCCGTGCTCGCGCGCGTGCGAGCCGCAG